CCGTTCCCCTCTCCTCCTCCTCCTCTCCCTCCCCGCTCGCGCGAGAGATCGCATCGAGAAATCGTCTCGAGGGGGCCAGCCACGAGAGAAAGAGAGAGGAATTTTTGCGCGGTGTGTGCGCGATAATGCGCCTCCCCCTCCGAATGTTGAGCTCTCAATTACGAGCGCAGAGTTATGAACCACCTCTCTCTTCCTTCCACCGATCTCCTTTGTAACAAAAGCGAGTGGAAAGGAGGAAGGGGGAGGGGGATATGGCCTTAGGGTCAGGCGGCCGATCGCGTCTTCATTAACGGCTATTAATTGTCAAAACGTGCCACATAATTCAGCGCGTGCGAATCGAGGTAACCTGCCGCCCCCTTGCGAATCAATTGATTTTTCTAATCGACTGGGAATAAGAAAGGAGGATGAGATCGTTTGAAGGGGAAGGAAATCGCAAGAGGGAATCGGATGAATGAGTAACCAAGGTGTAAAGTTGAACTGTGTATATCTCGAGCTCAACGAACATTTATCTGTGCGTAATTGTGGATTGTATTCAATTGGTGAAAAGAAGGATCCAAATCGACGAGAGAATTCTAACGTATCGATGTGATATGAAAATTTTCTTGTTTCTCTCTGTTTAAAACTATATAATTTGTTACGATAGTTTAATTTATAAATGCAATTTTTGTGCTCGAATAATTAAGATAATAATATTAATAATTGTACAAGCTAAACATACTGCATCAAAATAATTAATAGTTTCGAAAATATTCATCATCCTAACGTAACTTCATAAGTGAAAATAATCTTCACGACTTTGAACATTCGAATTATACCTCTTCCATTACTTACGATATTGCAAGACTCGAGCAAAGCGCGAGACTTCTTTCCACCAATGATGAACCAGTGAGCAACGTCTCGATCTCGAGTCGAATTAAAGCCAAAATTAATTTTCGAATTGTGAAAAATCGCGACTGTATTAGGATACAAGACGAAGGAAACGAATGCTACGCACCGACCATCGCCCCCTCCCTCCCCTCATCCTCCAGAGCGCGCCCATTGAAACGCGACGGAGCACGCAAACGCCGCGAACGAGCAGTTGCACGGCTGGGTAACGGGAGAAAAGGTGCTGCGTGTCCACTGGCCGACATAACTCGCGATATTTCTTGCGAGCGCGAATCGACGAGATAAGTAAACTGAGATTTCACAGATCCTCGAATTTCACCCTCGAATATTCTTTTCCCCTCCCTCTATGCTCTTTCTCTCAAATCATCCGTAAGATATCGACGCGAGAATGAATTGATTTGCAATTACGTTGCTCCTTCACGACTCTTTGACTCGATCCGAACCGACGTAATCTCAGAGTGTCTCGTGCGATTACACGAACCTCTTTCTCTCTTTCTCTCTTTCTCTCGGTTCAAATCGGTGGAAAAAGCTTGTAACGACGGCGTCCACTTGGTTAACAATCTTACATCGAGGTTATTATTGTCTTATCGCCCTTCTCTTTGTCGCTCCTTTTCAGTTCGGTATCTCACGCGAGGGAAAAAGCGCGGAGGGTTTGGGAATCGAGGGGATGGAGAGGGAAGGGCGGCTGTTCCACGGAGGCTTGATTGGCTCACCCTTCCGATAGTGCCTGAGATCCTCCAGCGGTGGATAAAAGTAATAATTTAAGCGAAAAGGTCAGAGGGCGGACTTATCGTGGCCTGGGAATGAAATCGAGGAGAGGGGGAGAGAACTTGTGCAAAGGCAAGGAGCGTATATGGGGGGAAAGTCGCTTTTGCAATGACAGAAGAGGCAAGTTGCGATGTAACCGTCTATAAATACGTTAAGATGGGATTAAAATTGTTATGTACGATGTTAATAGTTATTCCTCTCGATTTTAGAGACGCGTTGTACTTTTGTTTCTTCTATTTTTTATTTCTTTTCGTAATTTTTTAGTTCTATATAGAGGAAAAGAATATCAAATAATTTGAGTATCGTTCTGTCTGTTAACGAATTATTCATCGAAAGGAAGTTTTCTCGATAAAATTTAAATATCGAGCTTTGCACAAATGATTTCAAGTAGAAACATGATGGATAGCGAACGTAGACGTAGGACGGTTGTTTACGGTGGTATTAATTAAGTTGAAAGGCGGTTATGAGTTTTCCAAGGGGGTAGTTTTGAAATTTGTGAAATAAGGAAAAAGTCTGTATTTTTACGTAATTGATAGCTGGATATAAATACAGTGTTTCTTTGCTATTTGTTTATCGATAAACTGCAAGGGTGGAACGAGAGAGAGAGAGAGAGAGAGAGAGAGAGAGGGGGGGGAAAAAGGG